GGCTCACTCTGGTTCTTTCTCTTCACTCATCTTCTCCTTCCCCAGTTACAATTTCATCCAGTGTCATAGCGCTGAGTAGAAGCTAATACGTTGAAGACTCTGAATTCCCTGTTTCCAATGATTTCTCACATTCCAGACTGCTTGCTTGACATTCCTACTTAGATCTGAAACAGGCATCTCAAATCTAACACAGTACTATGTTCATCATCCTCCCCCTGAGCTTGCCTACCACAGCTCATGGCTTCCCTATGCATCTCTACGAGTTGGTTGGGGAAAAAACAAAACAACTTTCACCATTCCTGACCCACTAGAAAATCTTCCACCTTCGAAACACAAACAGACAAAAAAAAAAAAAAAGAGGCGGGCAGGAACAAAGACTTCTAATTTCCTAATGGGAAATAATCGTAACTCAGTGTTCACAGGTCACAGATTATATTACTATCACAAAGGTACCAAAGACAGGCAAAGATTAGTGAGGGAGGGGGTGTGCTGGATTGGGCAAGTTCTGGCTCATTGGGCATTCCCCACACCTGCCACCTCACTCTTACTCTACCCCTACAGCCAATTATGGTGAGAGCTGTTAGTACTACGGCTTGAAAGGCCAATAAAATCTTCAAGAGAATGATTTAAATTTTCCGTGCCAGTGTGGAGCCTTCAGATCCCAAATGAACATTTCCAAGAGTGTTGTCAGGTCACTCAGCTGCTACTTATTTTCTGTTAATCTCACCACCATTCTTTGACCACCAGTCTCTGGATGCACAGATTCTCAGGTGACGTCTTCCATGCTAGATTTGATCATGTGTTGCATTTTGTATTTCTTTTGGCAAATTCCTTGTGGATGTTTTCATCATCTTCTTGCTGTGCAGCCTGCTGTACCCTGAAGAGACAGAGTTGTCTTAAGGTAGAGAGGTATTTCACACACACACTCATTCTTCCTTACTGTATTGCAACTGGTTATCTTTATACCCAGTCTGTAACTATTTCCAATCTAAGAATTTGGTATATTAATCTGGTTGTCTTATTTATACTTTATACTGGTAATCTTACTAGTCGTAACATCAAATGTCAGAGCTTGAAATCTTTCGGGGAGGTTTTCATCAGGATACCTATTACTGTTTCTCAAAAGTCAAGTTTAGAGAATGTCTAAAGAAATGTTAACTTGGTAAGTGGTTCTGGAAATGTTGAAAACAAGCTGAAAACTCAGCTCAGTAACTAACTGAAGAGCAGTTTTCCAGATTACTCTCAAGACAGTAAAACCACAGGGGTTAAAGGTTAAACCTTGGTATTAAAAGATTGCACTTTAAAGGTAATGTGACTGAGCAAGTGACTAAAAATGTGACTTTGAGCAAGTGATTAAATCTGTTCCTAAGCAGATGAATGTGACAACCAAGGATCCTTGCAATGATTAAACTGTTCCATATTTTCACAGTTTTCACTATCAATATCCTGGTTAAAATGCTGTATTATTTTTCAAGCTGAGCACTGGTAGCACCCTGGGTTCGATTCCTCAGTACCACATAAACAGAAAAAGCCAGTTCAAGTGGTTGAGTGCTAGCCTTAAGCAAAAGAAGCCCAGGGACAGTGCCCATGTCCTGAGTTCTGAGTTCAGGCATCAGGACTGAGGACTGGCAAAAAAAAAGTAAAGAAAAAAGAAAAAAAAGATATACAAGTTCATGCTCATTTCTTTTCTGAGCAGGAAACTGTCTTGCTCTCTTCCTTTTCTTTTGCCCTCCTTCCCTTTCTTTTCTTAGAAATGCTTTATTCTGTAAGACATAAAGTTAAGAAACACTTTGTTGGAAATGTCCTTCTATACTTAATTTCTCATACATTTTCTTAAAGTATTTATTTTTTAAGTACAAAGGTTCAAACTCTGGGCTTTGCACTTACTAGGTGGGTGTTCTACCACTTGATTCATGCCCCCAGATCTTTTTTGCCTTATTTTTTGAAAAGGATCTCATGTCTATGTGTCAGCCAACCTGGACGGCAAGCCTCCTAATTATGTTTCCAGCATAACCAGAATGCCATGTACATGTGAAGCTACAATCAACTCCAAATAAAAAGTTTAATTGGAAAGTTGTTGCTTTAAAATGGTTTAAGTAAGACATTGAGGTACCAAGCTTGGTGGTACACACCTGTAATCACAACTACTTGATAAGCAGAGACAGGAGTACCACAGCCAGCCTACTGAAAAATAAAAGTGAAAAGGGGGGAGATAGGATCATGATTCAAGTGGAAAACCTTGCCTAGCAAGTGCAAGGCTCTGAGTGCAAGTCCTGGTACTACATGAATATATATGTAAGTATTAATTTCAAAGCTACCCTAGGGAGTCACATACCTAATTTTCTGTTAGATGCAATAGATGTCAAATTACTTTCAGTGTAGCAGAGATATCCAGAAGGTGGCGCTATTATCACACTAACATAAATAGTAAGTCACCTGTGGGTGGGGAAGGAAGAAAAACTAGGAGGAAAGGCAGGACATTGTCAAAAAAAAAAAAAAAATGTACTCATTACCCTCTGTACATCAGATTTATAGTAACAACTAAAAAATAAAAAGTTTAAAAATTGAATAGGATTTCTACAAATAACAATAACCTCAGATCAGATTTTCAATGCATGTCTTTGTTTGGAAAAGTATTATAAACCACTTTAAAATGATTAATTTGTTGTGATTCCCTACAATAAGGAATGTAGCAAATGGAAAACCAACTCATTTAATTAAGTGTACTTTCAATTATGTTCTATATTTGTCAAACCCTTCCAAACAAAAGCAAGTTCTGGTATTGTTGGTATACAAAATCTGGTATTAAGCCACTAGTTTTAAACAGCTGTCAGGTGGTCTTTATATTTTTCTTAACTATTTCCTGTCTCACCACCAATATTTTTGTTGCTGTTGATTTGTTTCTGAGACAGTGTTTCACTATGATCTTTAACTCTTGAGATCAAGTGATCCTGACTCAGCCTCTTGAGTGCATACTACCACACCTAACTTTTGATAATAGTTTGAGTACCACAGAAACAAAATAACTACAACTAAAAGTAGTAGGAAAGCTGAGAGCAAAAATCTTGAGGCTTTCCCTCCTTGGTTTTCTTTAAAGTGGAAACATTTGATAGTGTGTGCAAGCACATGATTATGTATGTGTGTGTGTGTGTGTGTGAGTGACAGAGACAGTTTCTTTGTAAAAACAGTATTCCAGAATTTCAATTGAATGATTTGTATTTAAAAGTTTAAGTATAAGGTTCAATAATTTATTATGAGTGCTCGGTCCTCATTTGCTGAAGAGGTATATTTGAGTTTCATTTGGGTTCTAATAACAGGTTGACAGACTGGCCAGGGTTTCCCATGGCAGTAAAAGAACACTTTCTATCAAAAAGCAAAAGGAGCCTAGAAGGCTTGGCGGGATGTGGGGGAGAGGGGGGAAGAAAGGCTGGGGAATGGAAGCACATGTGCCAGTACTGAGGCTTAAACACAGGGCCTTGAGTTCTCTGTCAGCTTTTTCCATGCATGGCTGGTAAGGCACACCTCCAGTCCCAGCTTAGCTTTTTGCTACTTAATTGGAGATAAATCTCAAATCTGTCTGCCTGGCCTGACTTTAAATCAGGATTCTCAGATCTCAGCCTGCTAAAGAGCCAGGATTATAGCTATGAGCCGTGAGCACCCAGCTTGGATATGGAGACTTACTGGTATACCTCAAGAGCCCAGCCGGAGATCCAGTCCCCTCTAAATTGAGCAGATTCTGCATCTCATCCACCAATAACCAAGCACACAGAAAGCAGCTCAAACAACTGAAATGTGTTCCACAGGTAACACCTTTAACTGTGCTTCTGACAACATGGTTTTTAATTAGCAAAATAACTTTTTTTCCAAGAGAAAAAATTTTCCTTGTACAATTTACATGAAAATGCCTTTAATATATACTCAGACTTGCAGTTTCCTATTCTTTCAGAAATTACCAAATAATTACCACCATTCAGTCTGTAAATTCATGTCAGTCAAGCAAAATTATTCTGTCCTTATTCCATTGACTTTCCCACACAGAGACCAAGTAAAATGAGAAATAAATAGAAGGAATTCTGAGCAGTTTATTCTCAAGTCATTACAGTGTTCAACCAGTTTGACACATACAGGTAACAGAGGTAACAGTGAACATTGGGACGTGCACACTCCCACTGTGAAAGAAGACATGTTATACACACAGGAAAAATGCAGCACATAGTAAGGGATGTCAGATTTTGTGACACTTCAGATGTGACATATTTACAGGAAAAGTGTAAGTTTTAAAATAATTAAATAATTTCCATAGAGTTATAAAAGAATTGAGATAAATATTAAGAGACCCTGACAATCACAAAAACATTTCCCTATGCTATTAAGTAAGGGTAGTTCTATCTAAAAAAGTTCCAAAATAGAGCTAGTATTTTGCCACCATGAAATATATCAAATTACCAATACCAAAATATGCTAGCATGGCATGCAATGTGGAAGCTGTACCAAAGAAAATGCTATGAGGTTCTTAGGTACTACGAAAGGTCTACACAAGATTTTAGATGTGTTCATGAAAAAGAAACTCAAAAGAACCATTACAATGGCTATGTCAGCAGAAAAAGTGGCAATTACCTAAACCTTTTCATTCTACCCTTTCAAATGAAGGTGCAAAAGAGAAAAATCTAAATATAGCTTTTAAAAAATTAGCTTATGAATAAAAAGTTGAGCGGGCATTCTTAGGCATATGGACTTTTAAACCAATAGATACTGTGTAATTCTAGTATAATATATCTTATAACCTCTGGACCCTACTACCTACCACTGTAGTAGCAACTTCTCTCTTAGACAAGAAGTCATCTTAGAAAATAAAAAGAAACAAGTGGTGCTGTGGCTCAAAGTGATAGAGCATTAGCCTTGAGCGTAAAAGCTCAGGGACAGTGCCCAGGCCCTGAGTTCAAGCTCCACGACTGACAGAAAAAAAGAAAGAAAGAAAAAAAAAAGAACAGTGATATGCATGAATTCAAAACAAAACAGTACTGTAAAATGGTAAAATATCATAAAAATAGCAGCATGTGAAATTCAAGACTTCTTTTCTTAAAGCAAATATTCAAGACTGAACCACAAAATGGTACTTGCTCAAACTGGTCTATCATTCAACTCTTGAAACTAAGACTTCTTTAGAGAGGTGCTAATATTTATGATATCCCCAAGATTAAATGTATACTCAAATTTGCTTTTAAAAAACATATATTGCACAGATAGAAGAATACCAGCATTCCGGTATATCTAACATAAAATGCTATCTTATTTAACACATTAAACTATTCTACTGAAAATTAATTTTATCTCAATGTTTAAAGCCAATCATATAGGACTTTTGAGCATACTCCTAGACAAGATGAAAAACACAGGCACTTGAATATAGGTTATTAATGACAGAAAAGTAGAGGCCACACCTTTTTGTGACTGGGGCAGTCCTGACTTTACATATAAACTTGAGGTCTTTCACTGATTCAAATATCAAAATAAGAACTATATAGAAAACTTTGATAAGAAAATCAGATCTCCAAACATTTCTGACCAAGTAATTTTCACTGAATAAAGCACTGACAGCTCCAAGTCCTGACAAATCTTTTCAAACAAGCATCTCGGATACAGTCACTTGAATGTTCATTTTCCCCTCTTCTACAGCTCGCTATCTTTAACCATGGTCTAACCATATCCTATCCTCTATGCAAAACCTAGCAGTCACCTTGAGATCCAGAATATCAAAAATGTATCATTCAAAACAGTCCACCCCGCAGTATACATCTGGCAGCACCACAGACACCATGAGTTTTAGATCTTAATCTGGTGGTATTCCGTTTGATAATAGTAACCAATAAGAAAAATATTGAACATTTAATAGGAAGTCATAGTAGCATTTTTAAATGACCAAAATAATTAGTAAGCATTTTTCATGTTTTAAGTTGTTAAAACATTTAAACTGTCCAAGTCACTAGGAAAAAAATACCACATACAACTTTTTACCACCCAAATGAGAACACAGAAAGCCTCAGACAAATGATACTGAAACCATTAGGCATTTTTCTCTCATTCTTAAAGAAATGACATTCCCTTTGGCTACTCCCTAGATTCTTGGTTTATCAGCTTACATATAGACAGTGCACATCTAGGAGGCAGTCCACCATGAGCACTAACCCATCTCACTATCATCTTTGGCTACAGCCTCATGAAAGGACACTGAGGGATTGGGATGCGTGGGGCCAAGAGGCCCCACACGCCTCCATTTTACACGTCGCTCACTGGAAGGCTTGCGTCATCCAAGTCCACTGGGTCGTGATCTATTTCCTGAGGGCCATTTTTACTTTGATGTTTTAGCAGAGCTTGCTCAGTCACTTTGGAAGCTGGTTCTCTTGAAGAGACAGTCTGGACCTTGAAGTTCCCTGGCTTGACCTTGGCAAGAGATTCGTAAAATCCTCGCTTCTCCATGGTAAAGCTTGAGACCAGAGAGTGGCTGCGACAGGCTGCGGAATGTGAGGTGGCTGCTGCTGCACCGGCAGGGCGGGGAGTGTACTTGGATTCGGAAGGACAGCTGGAATGCTCCTGGAAAGAGTAGCGGTGGTCAAACCCAGTCAATCATTAATAATAAAGTTAGTAACTCAGTAAGACTTGATTCTCTGAAAAACAAACACACATAGACACACACACTCAAAGCAGAAGCATGAACCATGCAGCATAAACGTGCCAAGCTCTTTCCCAAAGCAATGCATTTTTAGAAGTGAGTTCAAAGCAATGACAGCCAACAACCATTTCCACTAAGAAGCTAGTTCTGTCACCAAAGCTGAATTCAGTACTTTATGACCCTGTAAGACAGCTTATACTGGGAAACAGTGTTCCAACTGCAACCGGACTATGTTTAAAAGTAGGCTACCAGCTTCACCCTTTGATCTACGAGTATATTCTCAACTGACAATGGGAATTGATGCGTTTTAAAAAGATAAAAATAAAATGAACATCAATAATGGAATACGTGTTTTGGAGTACTGAGGTTCGAACTCAAGGCTGGTACTTTACCAATTGAGCCACACCTCCAGCCCTAGTTTTTACTGATTATTTTCAAGACAGGTTCTCTGTCTAGGCTGGCTTCAAATGTTTCATCAATAAGAATCAAGATTTTTCAAACATTATTTTGTCTAGCAGTTTTTTGCTTTCTTGAATTTCACTGCAGTCAAAAATAGCAAAGTCTTTTCACTTTTTAATTTAGTGTATTTAGTTGTACGCATGTGGTTTATTCACAGGGTCTAAGATTTTAAAGGTAAGGGTGCAATTGAGTCTTTACTTTGGTGAGTATCAGTTGTGAATATTCTAATATGCTTCTAACTAGATCAAATCTGAAGATACCATTAAATATGACCATTCTAAATGCACTGCACTATGCAGTTCCAAGCAGAGTATGTTGATTTATGATACTAGTAGCTTTGAAAACAAAGTGCTTGAAAACACTATGAAGTCTTATTACATGGCTAAATTTCACTAGAGATTTAAAATGTCATGCAAAACATAACAATATACAGCCTATGCAATATATCTGCATGCAAAGTTTGCATGTAATTTCCTTAAATTGCACGCGTTTCCTTAAAATAAAGGTGCATTTAAAATGTTATCTAAAATATCTCAAAGTATATAAACTATAAAAACCAAAACACTCTTGCAGCAATTTGGTCAATTAATTTTTAGAAGCTACTTTAATGTCTCTTTCCATTAGTAAAGTTGTATTTCTTTAATTTTAAGTGCACATACTCAACTTGATGTCTCTAATGAAGTAGTTTGTGTTAGTGTTGACAAAGTCAGTTATGACAACTGCGAAAGGCAGTTTGGTTAACTCAACTTTCTAAGATCAGTTGTCAGTAGTAAGTAAGTCCGGGCCCTCTACTAAGAAGGCACGTTTGCGTGAGCGCCCACATACGTGCTGCATTCACCAGTTCTTGATGTATACCTCTGTATACAAGGGTTCGACAGCCTTCTGGCCTGCCGCATCTGGAACACAGTGCAAAGCTACGATTAGAGTTAACCTATACTCAGGAGAGGGAGGGAGAGAGAAAGTTCCGCTGATAGTCATAGCTAGTCCAATTTGCCCCACCACAAAGCACAAAACACAAACACCCTTCTCCACCTTTTCCTCTTCCCAACAGACACTGTTTTTGCAGAGAATCTCATACTTGATTACTGAAAAAGTCACATGAAATAGGTGCAGTTACAAAATTAACACCTAGGAAGGTGGCTTCTTAGATATCCCAAAAGATAAATAGGTAGAATTAAGAACTGAGAAAACAATTAAGAAATGAGAAAAACTACTATCTATAGATAGTACTATCAGGAAAAGACAATACTATCCAGGGAAACCTACAATGCATGGAATAGCTAGCACATATAGTGAATCTAGATAATAAAGGCTATTATATTACATGTTAGACCAGTTCTGCTGGTGATACCATACATTTTCATTTTTCATCAGGATTTGCATTTTTAGATCAAAGTTGCTAGAGTTGCTAAAGTATTCCAAGCAAAACCTAATTCTATAAGCCTCAACATAATAGAAAATATTTTCTTACTATTTCTAAGTAGAACATTTCTTTTCAATTTTATTATTATCATACATGCACAAAGATAATCACAGTAGTTTTCAGAAGCAAACTTTTATATTAACATACTAAATTAGAATAAAAGCATGAAATAGAAAATACTAAACAAGAGCACAAAACTACATTTAAGACTCCTACTTGGTCAGGAGCCTTTGGTACTATTAAGCCAAATAAAACTTAACTGAAATTAAGGAAGTAAAGAGGAAATGGGATGTCACAAAAGTGTAACACTAGAATTGAAGGTCGTTTGCATAATTAGGCCACATACTATACTAAGTGTCAAACTACTAAGGAGTAAGTAAGAATTGCTAAAACAAAGCAAGGAAACATTTATTCCTTAGTTGTCCTGCTTGTGCATTTAACACAATACAGTGCACACAGAAAGTTATGTATATGGAACACTACAAGGAAGCATTACATTAGAAATGCATTATTTTTTGCAAGTCCAATTTGTATGAAAGTCAACATGCAAATAAATTTCAACAAAGGAAGAAAAGAGGGATTAAGGGTCAAAGGAAGGAAAACAATTCAACAGGATGGAGGACCCTCGGGAGTCTCACCCCAGAGAGCAGGAAACCTACAGAAGAGGCTGATCGGCCAGGTCCCCGCTGTGCTACAATGGCACCAGAGATGGCTTTGATCCAACTGTGCATCTCTTCAGGACTATCAGCCTAAAAGAAAGAAAGGGCTCATTCAGTCAACGTTTCCTCAAAACTACCTTGTACGTCTATAAATCCAATGTATGTATTTTGGTAACATACCGTTACTGACAAAATTATTCTAGGGCAATGGTATACAAACAATATTGTAGAAGCATTTTCTCAGTAAGTTACTATACTAAGACACAAGTTCGGCACTTAATATTTCAAGATCAGACACATCAAAAAATGTTAATAATGCACACTTCTGGAAAGAAAATGAGAGAGGAAGAAATAAAGCCATTTTTTGTTCTACCGGTTACACCACTGAATCAACTACAAACACACACACACACACACACACACACCTCGTTATATATTTAAAACTATGATTAAAAAAACATTTTGACATCTTTTTTATTTCTTGAAATAACTTCCTGAACTATTAAAAAACTACTGATGACCATATACCAAAGAACTCTATTTCCAGAAAAGGACAGGCTACCAACATGAATTTAAAATCTTATGAAATTACTCTAATTAAAAAAGGGCCTGAAAGGGTGCAGATACAACTTCTTGCTTCTAAAAGTTCTTGTATCTAAAAGTTCAAAAATGTTAAAGATACAGAATGTTTATTGAATCAATGACATTGTAACAAAGACATTTTAAAGGAAAAATTTAAGAAGCACAATTCTAGAAATCAATCTGACAAAATTAAGACTCTTGCTGATGGTTAAAACTTCACCTAGAAACATATCCTTTAAAAAAAATTGGAAAAAAATTCAGGCATATTGTCCAAAGATACAATATATATGGTAGAAGATATATGAAACAATGTACATGAACAGTTCAGACACAGAATATGGAGAAACAATTTACTTGTAGAACATCCATACACTCAAGTATGGTTTTCAGGCCATTTTTAACATATGGGAAAAAGATAACAATATGCAAAACAGGATTTAACTCTACAGCTAGTATCACCTTACTAGCTCAGATTTGTAATCCTAGCTACTCAGGAGGCTGAGATCTGAGGACCACAGTTCAAAGCCATACTGAGTAGGAAAGTCTGTGAAACTCTAATTTCCAATAAGCTACTCTGAAAAGGCTGGAAGTGGCGCTGTGGCTCAAGTGGTAAAGCGCCAGCTTTGAGCAAAAAAGCTCAGGGACAGCGCCTAGGCCCTTAGTTCAAGGCCCAGGACAGGCAAAAAAAAAATAGAAAGCAGGAAAAAAAAAAAGGTTCTCAAGATGGAATTGTGTATGAACTACCACTTTCTTCATTTCTCTGTAATAATAAGCATAGGTAACGTTCATGAAACAATTAACTGACCTTTTAAATATTCTATTTAAATAATTCAAACAAAAACCACATTTTAAATTTAAATACAGATGCCTACTAACAGAATATAATAATATCTACCAACTATTTTGATAGTGGGTACTGAGCCTCTCATTTTATAAAATGACCAAAAATGACATAATTGAAAAACAAAGTTCCAAAACATGTAAAGATAATCTAATCTGAAGGTATACACTTAAAATGTGAGTTAAAATATCATTTCCTTTCCTCCATATACCATTTAGTTCCATTTCATTAATTCATCATAGATAACCCATTCCTGAGCATATAACCTACCAATAACCCTTCATGCACAATGATCTTAATTAAGTTAATGAACTGTAGTTTCTTTTAATATCAAAAGCTACACGCTTTATTTACATTTATTTCACTTCTAAAGTTGTAGATTCCTTATGAGAAGATCTAGTCTCCAATTAAGTCTTACCTGAACATAGAAAGTTCGAGATGTTGTTACAATTTCAAATAAGTTGTCCCTCATCATTATGTCACTGTTGAAAAAAAAATTATCCAATTGCACTTAAACAGCAGTTGTTTGATTAGTCTTTCACTTGTTTACTCAGTGCCAAGTTATGAATCAAGTAAAATATTGACTTAATTTACCAAAAACCCAATTACTTTCCCATTTTTTTGGTATTAAAATGTATCTATTATGTGTAGTTAACTGGTTTTAGAAAAGGTTCATAAGGCAACTTTGAAGTCCAAAGCTTCTAAATGTAAAAAACTAGTTTATTCAAGTCAACCACAGCCCAGCAAATATAGTTTTTCTTCCTTTTTTTTTTTTTTTTGTCTGAGAACAAGATTTGAACTCCTGATCTGATACTTTTGCCAACTGGCTGACACTCTACCACCTAAACCACACCTGCAACTTCTTTTAATTTTATATTTTTTGCTAATTTATTTTTTATAATGCTCTATTCTGCAACATATTTTACGCACAAAAATTAGTACAAAATCTGATAGGGTCATTCCATTAAATTTTTCCTTTTCATTTCTGAGTTTTGTCTTCATTTTTACAAACAAAATATTTGAATAATGGTTTTGAAAATTTTAACATATCCCAACTATGAGGAACTAAAGATAACACTAAAACCAAAATGGAAAATACATGCTATAACAAGCACATAAATGAAATTAAGGCATGGTTCTGTATTACTGAGTGTGCCAAATGTATAGTCAAGAGCAGTTCCTTACCTTTGTTTACATTCCTGGACTTTATGAACCTCTTTAAGTGGTATTACTCGGAGAGGTTCCTTTTCCTGGCCAGAAAAAAAATAAAAGTAAACAGATTCAGGACTTTTATTCTTAAAATCCTTTCAAGGGTTAGCTGTCCTATCTGGAATTGCATCCTCTCTTGAAGTACATCTAAAACTTAACCATTTGAACCATTCAGATTTAAAACAGCTCAAATTCTATTCTCTTAGCAGCACTGTTGTTCCAAGAGTTTTGTGCAGCTTAGTAACACCAATTAATTAGCCAGCAAGCTAGGTCCTAGGTGAACTGGGTGACTCAGTTACTACAAACACTTCCTCTCTCGGAATGCCATTTTGGCATCTGTGATCCAGCTTGACTCAAATCTGTCACATTACAAACACATCACTTTCTTATGAAAACAAGCACCACTTATCAAATGCATGTTTAATAAATGCTGAGACACCTACTACACTTTAAATGTTTTAATCTCCTACCTTCCACAGCCTACAATCTAGGTTTATGTTGCAACTTAACTTATTCTCATAAAGAAACTGATGATTTGACATTAAACATAATTAAATATAAGAAACAAATATAGCCAGACGCCGGTGGCTCACACCTGAGATCCTAGCTACTCAGGAGGCTGAGATCTGAGGATCACGGTTCAAAGCCAGCCTGGGCAGGAAAGTTCGTGAGACTCATCTCCAATTAACCACTAGAAAACCAGAAGTGATGCTGTGGCTCAAGTGGTAGAGCACCCCCCTTGAGCTGAAGAGCTGAGGGACAGTGCCCAGGCCCAGTAGTTCAAGCCCCACAACCAATAACAACAACAAAAAAGAAATATAAAACACATTTATTCTTAGTAGCATAGCAATAATTTTCAAAAATCCATTAAACACTAATTTGTATTTCACTAAAACTGCTCTCATGAGATTAAGATATGCCTCATTTTATGCAGCACCAAGGGGAAAAAAAGTAAACCATGACAGAACATTTGTTCTTTTAATCGTAAGTTTTTAGAGCTTTACAAAGTAAGTTTTATTCTGAACTTCTGACCACAAGTGACTTACAAAAGTAGTACAAATTATTTCTACATACCTTGCAATTGTTTTATGTCAGTACACCTATGCATTTGTGTATAAAATATATTTGTGGGTATATAGATTTTTTTCCTGAAATGTCTTAAGACAGGTTGTAGATAATGGTACATCTTACTACTAACTACTTGGTTATACATCGTCTAAAACATACACATACTCTTATGTGATCATGGTACAATTAGGGAACCCAGAAACTTGACAGTCACAATACTGTTATCTAATTACTATATTCTGATTTCACTAATTACCTGACAAATATCCTTTTATAGCAAAAGAAAAATGACCTCTTTTCTGTCCAAGGTTCAATACAGGCTTATATCTTATTTTTGGCTGTCATGTCTCTTAACTCTCCTTTACTGTGGAATAGTTCTTTGGTCTTTTTTCTTTTCTTTTTAGTTTTAAAATTTCTAGGCCAGTTATTTCACAGAATGTCTCCCAATTGGGTTTGTCTGATTATTCACTCAGATTCAAGTAATACATTTTGACAGGAAACCACAGATATGACGCTATGTTCTCAGCATATCACATTAGCAGGCGCATGTATGGGGGCTGGCCAGATATTGGTGTGTTACAAATGATCTCATGCTTACTGATAGTAACTGTTGTCAGTTGCTGTAAAGTTACTTTTTCCTCTCATCACTGTTATGTTTTGGGCAAATAACTGGAGTTCATGTAGTACACAGTTTCTCACTATAATTTTGCCCACAAGTTTCATCAAACATGGAACAAATCTTTATTGGTGTAGTAGCTTCCAAATGGTGGTTTCTCTAGCCCTGAAAATCCATGCAACATGTTTTAAGATGGAACTGGGCTCTGAGGAGACACCTTTCTTTCTGCATATATTTATTCACGGCTCATGGATTCTCTGGGTTATAATCCATAGTTATATTTACTTTGCTGCTCAAATCTGAGTGCAGTCACTCGGAGCACCTCCATGTTGGCTACCATGTCTTTCTAACTCACAGCCGTCAGTATCTGAGACTCTAATTTCTGGCACCACTAGTTGTTCTGGGCTCAGCATGTACTTTTTTTGTCCAAGCACTGAAACCAGACAGTTCTCTAGGGATCCTGGTTCTTCTGCTTACACAATGGCATTTGTAATTGTTTGTGGAAGACAGTTTATGGAGCTCTTCGAGCAGTCACAACCTTCTCATGACAGATGAAAAGTAATAGTGCTGTTTTAATTGCATTTCTTTCATTATGAGTGATGTTGACTATCTTTTCACAATTTTTTTTTGGCCCAGGATTTGAACTCAGAGCCTAGGCACTATCCCTGAGCATCTCTGTGCTCAAGGTTAGTGCTCTACCACTTGAGCCACAGTGCCATTTCCAACTTAGTTTCTTAGCAATTTATTGGAGTTAAGAGTCTCGTGGACTTTCCTGCCTGGGCTGACTTCAAACAGCAACTCAGAGCTCAGCCTCCTGATGAGCTAGGATATACAGGTATGAGCCACCAGCACCTGGCTTCTTTTCACGTTTGTAAGACCATTTTACTTTTATTTTTTAGTACTAAGGGTTGCACCAAAGGCTTTGCACTAAGTGTTCTACCACTGAATTACATCCTCAGCCCAGTTCCTTCTTAAATAAATTCTTCTTTGTTCATTCTTCTCCTACATATTTGTCCTTCTATCCCTGCTTAAAACTTCGAAACATAGGCTAAATACTAATATTAAGAAACTAATTTAGCGGGGCCACTGGAGAGTGAGTTGCTGACCTGGTCACACAATCCCTGAATACTTCAGTGTGCTTTTCCTGTAAAGCCATCCTTTCACACGATCACAACCACCAGTCAGCAAACTACCCCCAAACTGTCTTTTATTAAGGCAAACAGATTCAGCTAGTCACAGGTTCCATTCCTTCCATTAGTATAGGAGAGTTGCCCACCCGTTCCTCAACTAATAATCTTGAAGACACAACAAGATACCTTGTTTGGTAGTATGTCCCTCATTTTCTGTGTCTGATGTTCCTTTAGGATTAAACTCAGATTATGTACCTTCAGCCAGTGAAGGGACTGAAGTAATGTTGCACTTAGTGCCATAATTCCTGTCAGGTGGCTTTAATTTCTCACCATCAATGAAGTTCTTCTGAAAAGGCTGACTGCCTGCCAAGGAAGTGACTACCAGCCAAGTCACTGAATGTTACTTTTTGTGCTCAGTTTTCGACTTTGTCTGTAGGTATTTTGTAACTATGTAAACAGCTCTTCCCTCAACATATACATACATACATTCACCATTCTACTATTTACTTACACTGGTTTGGGCTCCTGAAGTCCTATTTCATTTAGAGGGCTATAATCTGTATTATAGAATTTTGTATTTTGATGCTCTGCTCCTAATTTGGTGAGGGGAATGTTTTCAAAGTGACCTTATCATTCCATAAAGATCACAGTCCAGGCCATTCTGAGAAAAAAGCAAGACCCTATCTCAAAAATAACCAGAGAAAAATGATTGAGGGCATGGATGAAGCAATAGAAAATCTACCTAGCAAGATGGAAGCCCTCAGCAAAAAGCCCTACTAGACAATGTCACCTTGATCCCTTCATTTAAATAATGTACATGGTTCTTCTCTCAATACCATGTAACTACATTAATTTATAGAACCATCTATTATTGAAATCATGTCACCTGACAATTTTTACAATTTTTTTTTTTGTCAGTCATGGGGCTTGAACTCTGGTCTTGGACGCTGTCCCTCAGCTCTTCAGCTCAAGGCAAGCACTCTACCACTTGAGCTACAGCGCCACTTCCGGTTTTCTGGTGGTTTATTGGAGATAAAGAGTTTCATGGGCTTTCCTGCCCAGGCTGGCTTTGAACCGCGATCCTCAGATCTCAGCCTCCTGATTAGCTAAGATTACAGGTGTGAGCCACTGGAGCCCGGCTCACCTGACAATTTTTAATAATGCTACTTGGACCAGTGGAAGAGAATTCTTATTTTCTGAGTCTACCTTCAGATAGGTCAAACCGTCTCATGTAATCCAATTTAGGAGTCAATCTGATCTAGGAAAAGAAAATATCAAGAGAGGGCTGAGAAGAAAAGCAGAAATACAAAGGTTTAAATACTGACCTTCCAACTATGCTTCCAATACCCCTACAGAGGAAATTTACAGATGAGGAGGTACTAGTAATTTTAGATCTTTCAAGACAGAATGCTTCTTTGAAATCAAAACAGTTTTATGTAAGATATGTTTAAGAATATTCTATTAGCCAAAGAAATCACAACAAAGTAAAATGAACTATCAGTGCCTCAAAACCAGAATTGGATTATTCTAAAAATAGAGAATGGCATAAATCATACAATTACTACATTTCTTAAACATTTGTAAAGCAATATTTGAGACACAGCAACATACCAGTTCTGATTTGAAGTAGCCTATTGTATTTTCATCCAACTGAAAGTATCTTCTTTTCCAGTTTTTCATCTACCAGAGATGAATACAGATGTGAGACTTCTAAGAATGCCAAATGTTAATGACTACTTAGTTCCATTATGAACCCACAGTCAGAAGTGCCAAGTTCTCAGAAGCCTTGCAATCTTCCCTTTGTGAGGTGGTAAATAAAACAGTTTCCTTTGGTAATGAGGCCTTCAAACTTTTGGTTATTGGTTTTCATATTTGATTAATGGCACTATGATATTTCATAATTTTTTGGATTTTTTTTTTTGCCAATCCTGAAGTTTGAACTCAGGGTGTGTTCACTGTCCCTGAGCTTCTTTTGCTCAAGGCTACCACTCTACCACTTGAGCCACGGAGCAAGGCTACCACTCTACCACTTGAGCCACAGAGCCACTCTGAGCTTTTTCTGTTCATGTGGTACTGAGGAATCGAACCCGGGAGTTCATGTATGCTAGGCAAGCACTCTACCACTGAGCCACATTCCTAGCCCAATATTTCATAGTTTTAATGCTCAGGTAAAAAAAGATAAAAGTATTTCCTTTCCTTCCTACCACCTAACCCCCACAAAGCAAAGAGCAAGCACAGGAAATGTTATTTAACCACATCAGGTTTTTCCATTTATAAAACTTACAAATCTTTCTTCAAGTAGTTTATACATAGGAATAAAGCAGTAAGTACATAATAAAATGAATCTAGAAAGGAAACATTTAAGGAACATCTTACACAAGTTTTTTTGTCACTGAACTAAAATATCTCAAAGTTACTGATATTGTAGACTTGGTAAACAAAAGGGGCTATCTCCCTAAAAACTCCAATTAGCATACACACAGTGTGCATCAAAGAATTTTGTGAGAGAATTCTGACTCTAGTGCCCCGTAAATACTCCACAGTGAAAATCCTCAGGTGCTTGCCTTCAATTTCTGAGACTGGAAGCATCACTTTTTGGACTGCCAGACATTGATGAGCAGCCAAATAGGAGAGTTTGATGCATTTTACTCATGACATTTGAAAGATTTAGTTCACATAGAAAAAATAAATTTTTAAGTACTTTTTTTTTTTCTAAGACAAGGTCTTCCTATTCAGTCTAAGCTGGTCTGGAACTCGTGAATCTCCCAAGTGCTGAAGAATGTGCTACAATACTAGATTACAGGCATATACTCTACCAGGCAGAAAAGTACCTTAGGTCTTTAATAACTTCGTCATAGAGCTGTCTGTGTAGGAATAGCTAGGCTAACTTGTAGCACTCTCACTAGGGAGTACCAGGTACTATCTCAATGTATACACTGGTCATTTACATCTTTCAAAAAACACTAGGCTGTAGGTTTTATAAAATAGTTTTCTTTTCAACTGGACATCAGTTATCCTAGCTACTCAAGGAGGCTGAGAGCTGAGGACTGTGGTTCAAAGCCAGCTCTGACAGGAAAGTCTATGAGTCTCTTATTTCTAATTAACCACCCCTCCCCCAAAAGGCCAGAAGTAGCACTATGGCTCAAGTGATAGAGCCCTGGCATTGAGCAAAAAAAAGGCTCAGGGACAAGTGCCCAGGCCCTGAGTTCAAGCCCCAGAACCAGCACCAAAATTTTAAATATATATATAAATATTTATATATTATATAATAGATAACATATTATACATAATATCAAATAGTATATTATATTGAATATTATCTCATATAATATATAACATATATATTTAAAATGTATAATTTCTTGTAATTATAATTTCTATATTATATTCATATGTGTAAATATATTTAAATTGTTTAAAATATACAAATATATTATATATGTGTGTTACATATACATATTATATATGTATATAATTATAAATACATATAAATTTGTTGTATATTATATATACATATATGTATATATGCATATATATGTGTATATATATTTGTTTTTTTTCTTCTCAAAAGAATCTAGAAGCCTACAAGTTTAAGAAGTTTAAGTAACACCACTCACAACAGCTTTCCATGGAACTCAGTCAAACAATAGCAGGTCCTGAGCCCTGGGCCTACCATCTTCCCTACTGTAGGCACAGTGAGCTCTTTCCCTGACCTATTATTGGGGAATGGTAATGGTGGTGTGAAATCAACAGAAAAACTTTCTGAAAGCTGTTAAGAAAGCTCAGTGGAAACAGGAAAGAAGAGCACTGCATTCATTACAAACACAGAACAAGACCCTCCCTATGTCCCAACTCTTTCTGGCATTCTAGTCTCCACTGTAGGTGTTTCATAAAATAAAGCAAACACTTTAATGTTAACTTGCAAGCTTCCCTGGCATGTGCTCATCTGTGATCCCTTCACATTTGTTCAGCTACTCACCACTGCTCCTTGTTTTACACAATATCCAGCTTTGATAACAGCACTGTCTGGAGGTGGTTTAGGAGGAAAGTAGGTAAGATGGCTTTGTGACCGCTTCAAATTATTTCTGTCAATACTTTCACCACATTCATTTACATCTTCTTTCTAAAATAAAACACAACAAAAAGATTATTGTCTTGCTTATTTAGCATTCAAAACCTTCTTTCACTTCATGTTAACCTGGCAGAAAATCTCTCTCAGGGAAGTAAGGAACAGAGATTTTAAAGTAAGAATTTTTTTAATTAACTGGAAATACTTCATAACCTTTCTGCCATTCATCAGTGCAAATTTCTACTTCTTTGCTTCTACTAATTCCTACATCTAGTACTTTTTCTTGAAGGGAGGGGCTTTTTATTTTGAAATAATTATAAAAGATTCATAAGAAGCACCAAAAAGTGGGGGAAACCATTAAACTAGCCAGGTGCTGGTAGCTCACGCCTGTAATCCTAGCTACTTGGGAGGCTGAGATCTGAGGATCACTGGTTCAACGCCAGCCCAGGCAGGAAAGTCCCTGAGACTCTTATCTCCAATTAACCACCAGAAAATTGGAAGTGGTGCTGTGGCTCAAGTGGGAGAGCACTAGCCTTAAGCAAAAGAGTTCAAGGACAGCATCCAGGCCATAAGTTCAAATGCCATGACTGACAATTTTTTTTTTTAAATCATAAAACTACACCAAACTAAACAACCATATCAGAGTCCTTCAATCAGAGTCCCCCAACAGGAACATTATATCTACAGAACACATTACCAAAACCAAGAAGCTGCTATTGGTACATTCCACAAACTGCATTCAGATTTTAATAGTTTACAAGGACTTATTTGTTGTGGGTACATGTACAGATCTGTGCCACCATTACCACAATCAAGACACAGAACTGTTTACCATCACCAGGTTTTCTTATGCAACCTTACCCCTAATTCTTCAAAACCATTCATTCTCTAGTTCTGTAATTCTGATGTAAGTAGAACCATATAAAAGGCAATCTTTTGAGTCTTTTTTTTGCCATTCAACATGACTCATTCAGGTTGTTCCTTCTACCAATCACTATTTCTTTTTAGTGCCACATCTCATGTAAGGACATACACACACCATTAAAGGGCACGGGAATTGTTTCCAGCTTTTGACTACTAGGAATAAAGCTTCTATGAACATTCATGTACAAGGTTTCACATGGATATAATTAGCCATTTCTTTAAGATGATGGATTAGGAATGCAAATGTTGGGTTGACAACTGCAAATTTACTTTAATAAAAATATATTTACCAAACCTTTATAGAGTAGCTGAACTATTTTACATTTCCCCCAGCAACAAATGGGAGATAAGGTTTCTCTTCGTCTTTGTTAGTACTTGCACTGATTTCTGACAGGTTGTGTTTTATGTTTTATGTCCCAAAAAGTACTGGCTTCCTGTTTGTTTATACCAGCCAATAATCTAGAATCCTACAAATAAAGCAAATGAATATTTTTTTTTGGCAAATGAATATTTTTAAGAAGTCCTAAAACTCAAGAGAAAAGTTAAGTGTTAGCTGTCATACACATCTTGAGGAATTTTTAACCTGTTTTATACTTAGGTGAACAATAGTAGGTACTTAACTTTTAATCCCAGTACTGAACTATTTACCCAATACTTGACAAATAAATTAATCATGCAAATGATAGTTAACATTTTTTGATTCTAAATTACCTAAATGCTTTCAGAATGAGCAAATAAAACTTTATGATTTTTTTTTTTTTTTGGTTGTGGGGCCTGAACTCTGGGCCTGGGCGCTATCCCTCAGCTCTTCTGCTCAAGGCTAGCGCCCTACCACTTGAGCCACAGTGTCACTTCCGGCTTTTCCTGCTTATGTGGTGCTAAGGAATCGAACCCAAGGTCTCATGCACACAAGGCAAACACTCTACCACTGAGCCACCTTCTTAGCCCAAAACTTTATAATTTTTAAAAATTGTATTATAAAATAAGAAAGCAATAAATTTGTTTGTAATTCTTTAAGGCTATCTCCCAAAGAATCCAAATTATTAAACAACATTAACTACTGTAGTATCTTAATACAAGTACAGATAAACAGAATTATCCTTAATATTAATGCAATATAACATAGGGAATGCTTAATTTAGCTATATATCAACAGGTTAAAACCATTACCTTTGGAAAAAGCAAACATCCATTTTATTTTTTAAAAATCTAAGATTGGTAATAACTAAAAGTTCTTGCTAGAGCAAGGATTTTTATTAATATGTCCCTTGCCAAATATAAAAAAAGCTTTTCATAATTAATGTAAGATTTCTTTCCATTAATCATTTTTCCCTGGCAAAAGACCTGGAAGATAAAATATATAACTTTAAGGTCTACAATATTAGTCTTTAAAGTTCAAGAGACATAAAAATAATAAAAATACCCAATGATTTCTTTTAAAATGTTGATTTCTCAACTACTAAGAATATAATTTGCATTACAAATTCTCACACAAACATTAAATTCATAGAAATTTGAATTTCACTTAAGAAAGTATATATTAGTATTTTGTTCCTACTACCTGAGCAATACTTAATTTAGCTATAGGTACTTCTGAGATAAAATTAAGTCAAAGTTCCACTTCTCTGTTTGTTTGGCTTATGACTTCAGGTTGTAGGAAAAAACAGGCTTTAAAAAATGGCATGTATTTACAAACTGTAATTCAGCAATTTCATTTCCAGGAACTTATTCTTTAGAAAAATCATCTGTAGCTAGGTGCCAGGGACTTATGTCTATAATCCTTGCTACTTGTAGGCTGATCACAGTTTGAGCTAACCTCAGCAGACTTCGCCTCAATGAAGAGAAGTTGGATGGTACCACCTGACATCCCAGATGACAGGAATCCTAAAATGGGCAAAGAGAGGTGCAGGCATGCACTTGGACAGGAAGTGAGACTACCTTAAAAATAACAAGTATACAAAAGAGGTGGAGCTGTGGCTCAGCGGCAGAGCACCTGTCTACCAAGTGCAATGCTCTGAGTTCAAACACAATACCACCATCAAAACAAGACAAAACAACAACAAAAAACTAACCTGTGTCTCTAAAATTTAAGACATCAAGAATGTTCATTGAAGTATTATTTATATAAGAAAAATGAAAGAAAAAGAGGGGAATAAACTTCTACATTTCTAATCACAGAAGATTTGTAAATTATGTAACTCCATGGCAGAACTAATTCTTGGAGGCCTGGCACTCACACCTGTAATTGTAGCTACTCAGGAAGCTGAGATCTAAGGATCGCAGTTCATAGTCAGCCTGGGCAAGAAAATCCCAGAGCTTATCTCCAATTAACTACCAGAAAACCAGAAGTGGCACTGTGGCTCGAAAGAGCTAAAGGTACAGCTTCCAAGGCCCAAGGCAGGCCCCAGGACTGACAAAATAAATAAATAAATAAATAAATGATGCAGAATAACTTGATCACTAGGAACTTGTTCGTAATGTAAGTGAAAAACACCAAAAAAATTTACAATCAACATACGTTTTTGAAAATAAAAGACTTTTTAGTAATTTAGTAATGAACTAACTAGGTAAAATCCATCGATTTAGGGTTTTGTATTGTTTGTCAGTTGTTTGGCTTGACCTCAGGACACCTGGGAGCTATTCCTGAGCAATTTTGCTCAAAGCTAGTGCTCTACCATTTTAAGCAACAACTCTACCTCTGGTTATCTGATAGATAACTGAAGACAAGACTTTCAGGGACTTTGCTGCCTGGGCTGGCTTTAAACTGTGATCATCAGATCTTAGCTTCCTGAGTAGCTAGGATTACAGGCTTTAGCCATCGGAGCCTGGCTGTTTTAGTTTTGATGACAATATAAACATCAATGTGCAATGAGCCCCTCACATAATAGGAGAATGAATTTATTACCTGAGTTGGAGTAATGATGGGTACACCACCAACAATATCAGTTCTATAAGACACCTGCTTCTTCCCACCTTCACCCTGGCGATTCAGGTTGTCAGAATTAGGCTGTGAGTCTGACTGCTTTGGTACCTGAAATAGTAACATGATTCATTTTGTAAACAGAATTATTTATGAAACTGTCTTTTTCTGTTCTTAACTGTTTATATATAACTGATAGGTATGTATAAGACATTTACAATGTTGTACATGTGCTTCAAGCTCTCCCATGTTATTTTCTGCTCCAGTCTGCTTTACAATAGTACAGCATCCCTCATCAAATGCTTACTTGTACAGGTACCATTCCAAACATGTTCTCATTCCTCCAGTTGCTAACCCTATGCACAGGGCAATACATCCATTTGAGAAATAAGGAAACAGTTAGGCACGGTGGCTCAAATCTACAATCCCAGATACTTAGGAGACAGATGCTGAGAGAATCATGGTTTAAGGCTAGCCTGGACAAAAATTTGCAATGCCCAATCAACAAATAAGCTGGATGTGGTGATACACAGGAAGGATAGGTAGAAGAATTGTGGTCTAGGGTTGACCGCAGCAAAAAATTATCCCAATCTAAAAGATAACCTAAAGGATTGGAAGCGTGTCTCAAATGACAGAGCACTTGCCCAGCAAATGAAGGGCCATGAGTCAGTCCAACACTGTACTGCCAATAACTAATTAATCAATTAATTACATGGAAGCTGAGAGCCATTAGGAAATACAGGTCTCCCAAGTTGTGAAAACTTGTTCAAAACTCAAACACCATCATCTAGATCCTGCTGATTAGAGCACTTAACTTTGGGTCACAGAATATATTAAAAAAAATCAGTGAGGGGAAAAAACCAAAAATCTTTAACATATATCAAAAATCAAAATGTTTTAACTAGCAAAAAACCATTTAAGAATTTAAAGGGAGTTCCAATACTTTAGATGATAAATCATTCAATATAAACCAATTACGACTATGATAATAGTAGGATATGAATAGCTCACTAAACATGAATCAAAGAATCAAGAGTTTCATTAAGTATTTAAAATAACATTTTAGATTAATAAAGTGACTTATAGGGAACACAATACTTATAAGTACCAGCCAATCAGTATTTTTTGTCTATAGACTGTTAACCATGAAGACTGCATTTGAGTAGTTTTTGCTGTTCACTTACTTTGTTTTGTTTGAGACAGGGCCTTGCTATGTAGCCCAGGCTGGCCTTAAATTGGCTATGTAGGTTTCAGGCTAGCCTCAAAGTTTTGATCCTCTGTCTCAGTTGCCTGGGTGCTAGGATTCCAGGCATGAACCACAATGCCCAGCCTGAATGACAAATTGTCAAGGTAAGTAAGAGTGAGTAAGGTAAGAGGTAAAAAAACACAATTCGGTACCAATTATGATGTTGAACATGATTTAGTTTCTCTCCAGTGAAGTCTTTCAGAAACACTATGAACACTACTACTGGCAATCACCATAATGGCACAAAATATTTTATTTAAAGTAAAATACAGGTTACTCAAAGAACTACAGAGGACATCACTCATACAGTATCCAAAGATCCTCCCATTTTACTAGGTCATTCCAAAACACAGTGTGTTCTCAAAGCTGTAATGTGCATCAAGTGTCACCAGGAACATTGTTAAAATCCATAGACTCCCAGGCTACACATCCAGAAACTCTGATTCCACAAATCTATAGAATAGCCCTCCCAATTTGCACTTTAAAGTAGAACAACAGGTATTTTTTAATAAGGTAGTTCACAAAACATACTTTAAGCAACACTGTTCTAAAACCTGAACTCCTACTTTATGAACCTTTATAAAGGTCTATGGATAAGAATGGTTTATTTTTTGCATGAATTCTAAGTCGTAGTCTTCCCCTTCCTTTCCCTGCCCCCCACTAGTGATGCTTCCTTGCAGGCCTCTGACAGAGCCCTCCAAACTCTCAGGCATACTTAAGCTGCACTGTCAGTCACGACTAGGGAGACAGGGAGAAGGAAGAAGAAAAACCACTAGTAAGGAAGAAGTGACTCCTTAATGCCCTGGAGCTCTTCTCAGAAGTTATATATTTTGGAGTATTTTTAAAAGAGTACAATAATGGACAACATTTTACTTGGTAAGTAATATTAATATATCATACCCTGGGACAATTTGCTGAGGAAGCCTACTATATTTTCTAACAAACAGCATCCTGTATTTAAATTATTTTGACAATGAAAAATGTGGTGCTATTATGTCAATAAATAGAAACTTGGAAGTGGTGCTGTGGCTCAAGTGGTAGAGTGCGCTCCTTGAGCTGAAGAGCTAAGGGACAGCGCCCAGGCCCAGAGTTCAAACCCCATGACCAACAACAACAACAACAAAAAATAGAAACTAGCATTAAGACAACTTGGAAACAGAGTGAATAATTATTTGACTACATTATAGGAGAGGTCTTAAGAAAAGTAGCATTCTTTTAGCTATACATGGGAATTTCAGGGAAAATTATTTAATATAACCCTAAAAGTACACTGAAATTTCTATTAGTTTTTCCACTTTTTTTCTGGGAGCAACAGTATATTTAAAACCCTGCCTATGCTATTAAACCAAATGCTTCCACTTTATCATTATAATAAAATCATATTAAATATCACATATCAATGTTAAAGTTCAATATTCACTTAGAATTACATTTTTACAATAAAAATTATCTAAATTGTAATCATCTCACTCCTTAAAAAAGGAGAACATTCAAGCAAGATATCATAAATACAGTCAACTCCCTCAAAAACTATAAACAACTGAATGAAAAGTTAACTAAATTTAGATGTGTAATCATTTTCAGCACAACCACACATGCACAGTGCCCGTAAATCAGCCAACTGTTAATGAGAATCCGAAAAGTAATACATCCCCCATGGCAGAAACCATGTCAGGAACTGAATAGGCTTGGTTTTTTCTGACTGTTGTCTTTCCTAGTTTTCTATCTTTTTTTTTTAACAAGACTGTTTCTCATAAGAGATCCAAATGTATTTTTAGCAGGTATTTGTTTGTTTGTTTGTTTTTCTTTTTTTTGCTTATATGGTGCTGAGGAATCAAACCCAGGGCCTCATGCATGCAAGGCAAGCGCTCTACCATTGAGCCACTTTCCTAGCCCTAGCAGGTATTTGTATACAGTAGAAAATTCTAATACTAAAAAAAAGGCTGAAATGACTAAAGAATATGGAGATGACTTTAACAAGACTTCAATATTTATGACCAAAAAAAGTTAAAATGCTGCAGATTTCTCAAAAATTAAAGGGGAAATTAGTGTTCATTTCATCAAGAATAATGAGAGTAAATAAAGATGGAAACTGAAAATGGTTAGATACAAACTCCCAGCTAATAAGATCTTTTAATGTCATATCCTACACCTAACCAGATCGGCTAACACTTTTGCGCAGGTAGGGCATCTTGTTAAAACCAAACTCTTATATTTAGCTTAACTCTTCTACTTGTTCCCCATTACTATTTTTTAAAAAAAGAAAGAAAAAGGTTCATGAGTTTTGTCCCAATTTCAAAAAAACTAATTTTTACATTAAAATTTGTATCCTTTTTTATTTTTTTGGTCAGTCATGGGGCTTGAACTCTGGGTCTGAATGCTCGCTGTCCCTCAGCTCTTCAGCTCAAGGCTAGCGCTCTACCACTTGAGCCACTGCACCACTTCTGGTTTTCTGAGTGGTTTATTGAAGATAGAGTCTCACAGACTTTCCTGCTGGGCTGGCTTTGAACCGTGATCCTCAGATCGAGTAGCTAGGTTCAGTAGCTAGAAGCCTGGCTGGAAAAATACACTTTAGAAACAATGGAAGGCTGAGTGCCAGTTCATGCCTATAAGCCTAGCTACTCAGGAAGCTAGGATCAAAGTCAGTCTGTGCCAGAAAGTTGAGATTCTTATCTCCAATTAACCACCAAAAAGCCAGAAGTAGAGCTGTGGTTCACATGGTATAGCACTAGCTTTGATCTCACCCTACATAAAAATAACTAACTAAAACCTATGGATTTCTGTTTAGGATTAATCATAAGCCATCTTGAATATTCTTTTTTTTTTTGGGGGGGGGTCCGGTCATGGGGCCTGAACTCGGGGCCTGGGCACTGTCCCTCAGCTCTTCAGCTCAAGGCTAGCGCTCTGCCACTTGTGCCACAGCGCCACTTCCAGCTTTTTTCTTTTTGCTTATGTGGTACTGAGGAATCGAACCCAGGGCCTCACACATGCAAGGCAAGCGCCCTACCACTGAGCCACCTTCCCAGCCCTTGAATATTCCTTAATATCAAAACAGGACCTAACACTCTGAGAACAAATAAACAGATGCAAATATACCTTAAATATTGTTTTTTCCAGACTTCAGTCACAGATACTCCCTTTAGGACGAGTTCCTCTAAGCCTGGCACTGGTGGCTCACACCTGTAATCCTAGCTACTCAGGAGGTTGAGATCTGAGGATTGTGGTTCAAAGCCAGCCTGAGCAGGAAAGTCCGTCAGATTCTTCTCTCCAATAAACCACCAGAAAACTGGAAGTGGCACTATGGCTCAAATGGCAGTGTGCTAGCCTTGAGCTGAAGAGCTGAGGGACAGGGCAGGCCCAGAGTTCAAGCTCAACGACCAACCAAAAAAAAAAAGATTGGTTCCTCTATTTTTGCTCCTTTTTTATAATAATAGGAATAGGAAAAGAATTTAAAATGCTGATCCACATTCACACAGACTTTGGTAAAGTAAGGAAATGCAGGCCGTGGTGCTGGAGGACAGTTCACTAAGATGACAATAACTACTGGAAGTACAAGGTAATAGCTAACCACCATTCTCTCACCCATTCCCCTCTAACAATCTCTATGTTGAAACCACTAATTCTCAAACTCTAATTTTGGATTTCTAAAAATTTTCACTCAACAGACCACCAATTACAGTTGACCAAAATGTTATTTGGAGTGATTCCATAGGAAAGCAAGCTGCACATGTATTAAAATAGAAACTAATTTTTCAAAGAATTTAAATATAAACCATCAGCCATTGGTTAAAAAAAAGGTGATCACTACTTTTTTCTTAGAATACTAAGAAACCATTGTTTATTATTACAAATTATAAAAACTGGATTTAATAAAGTTACTACATACTATCTTTCTACAGAAATTTTCCAAGTAGCGAATAGTTATTAAGAGAGTTAAGGATCAACTAAAATTTTTGAAGAATATATACTTCTGAACCATTTCAAAACATTGCTTTCCTGAAACTGCACAAACCCAAAATAACTTCTGCTTCATGTACAGATCAGATGTGGTGTGTGGGCGTTTTCTGTCATGTGGTAACAAGCTGTTCTGCTGCAAGACAGAAAACTCAACCTAACTCTGAAAACAGATTTAATTATATTAACCCTTTATTGTGTTATACAAACAGGGACTCATACATTTCAGATAGACACTAGCCGTGACTAATATATGCTGAATTTCAAGGCACAGGTTTAGGGACAGTAAATACGTACATTTTAGTAAACACACATCAACTGATCCCATACAGGAACTCCTTCCCAAGCTGTTCCAGGCAGCCTACGACATGTTTTTCTATGTGTATAAGGAAAATGCCTAGCAAGGCTCAGGGAGTAGATCCATGTACTTGCTCAGTAGCAGCAGTAGGAAACTTGCTTTGGTTTTACCAACAAAAGTTATCGGGTGAAGGCTTTTTCTTCACTGCACTTCAGAGTGCAGGCTCCAGAGCCTGGTAGGCTAGCCTAGGCTCCCCATCTCCTTGTTACAAGTAACTCAATCTTTCTATACCTTGCAGTTTTGTTTGTTTTGGAGGTTGACAGTCATGGGCTTCTACTCAAGGCCTGAGTGCTGTTCCTAAGCCTTTTTGCTCAAGGTTAGCACTCTACCACCTTGAGCCATAGTACCACTTCCAGTTTTCTGGTGGATAAGTGGAGACAAGAGTCTCACAGACTTTCCTGTATGAGCTGGCTTTCAACCATGATCCTCAGATCTCAGCCTCCCAAGGAGCTAGGATCACAGCACCCAGCTTAAACCTCACTTTCTTCCAGTGTTTGCACAATAAAACCATTAGTCCAAAGCCTGGAGTATGATGTAAAGCCTCAGGAAATGCTAATGTTCATTAGAAAACCAAATAGAAAAAAAAGGCTAGAAGGGTATAGGTTATAATGTTGAAAAGAGTGCAAAGGTACCAACCCCTGGAACTCAAGGAAGAAGTTGGGAGCTTGACACAACTCCTCAGGGCCACAGGGCCGTGTGCTACCTAGTCCTGTACTTAATCTTTCAGCCATTCAACTCCACTGTCCTGCTCCCACATTCATGGCTTCAAAGACAAGAATGCTTATGCCCATCACCCAAGTAGTGGCAGGACTCCAGAAGTAAAACTCATGCCCTTCAGGCAAGACTCTCCATGCTACTAGAATCTTCCCCACAAACATTACTTAAATCTACAATAATATATTTTTTATTTTTTTTCTGTCAGTCATGGGGCTTGAACTCTGGGCCTGAGCGCTGTTCCTGAGCATTTCAGCTCAAGGCTAGCACTCTACCACCTGAGTCACAGTGCCACTTCCTGTTTTCTGGTAGTTAATTGGAGATAAACGTCCTATGGACTTTCCTGCCCAGGCTGGCTTTGAACCTTGCTCCTCAGATCTCAGCTAGGAATACAAGCGGAGCCACTGGTGCCTGGCAATAATATTCATCTTTATAAGGCACTTGATAGGTGAAAACATTTACAGGCCAATGAAAGGGCTGAGAGTCTCCAAGAAATTGTCTTCACTTTCATCTTTTTAAGGAAGCTGAAGTATGAAATCTGTGGCAAGCTGATGACATTCAGTAGAGCTATTTTCAAAGTGCGAAGATTACTTCCATATAGTAAAAACTTTAAAAAAAAACTTACTGTAATTTTTATAGCTTTGTTCAAGACGTTTACCCATTCTACTAGGTCTTGCTGATCATTGGCTTGTAGAAAATACTTCCTCATTCCAGCATTCATCACTGTGGAGAAAAAAGAAACATGAGATATTGTACTTGTTACTTCCAAATTCATGCTTGCAGCAGCTGAAAAGTCTTGCTAGATTTAACATGACACACACTTTGGCTATCTCCAGTTTTTGAAATTAGATAAAACATCAAACAATGAAACATCACATATGCAGCTCCATAGCTTGACTAACATTTCTATAGGATAATTTTCCTGACAGTTTTACTGAGTCACGGAGAATTCACATTTGCAATTTTTGTAGGTATTAGCAAACTGTCTTCCAAATTGCATATGAAAAGTCATTCACTTAATACCCTTAACCAGGCCTGGTTACTAGCACTTAGGCTAATTATATAGCTCTTGTTCTCAACTCCAACGCTCTGGACAGTGGGTCTAGGAATCTGCAAACACCAATCCCTAGGTTTCATGTTCTGCCAGTAGTAAGTAGTGACAGGGTCACAGAAAGTAGAATTGAGGAGGGTGAGATTGGCTGGCTCTAATCTTGATGATCTTCCTCCAACAGCAGCACAGAACCACCAGTAGCACAGAACCACAGTGCTAGAGCCTTCAGATACCCAACCCAGCCTTGAAGGGTCATGAGCTCAACTTTCTGCTCCTCCACACTACTTCCTCTTTTATCTCTCCACCTCTCGAGAGCTACTTCAGATAGGTTCTAATTTCTGGATTATTTCAACATTCTCTTTATGCTCTCTCAACCTTTCAACATTTAGATTACCAATTCCCCAAGACAATTCTCTTGGAACTGCAGTATCTCATGTTTTCTTGACTGTATCTCCACTGATACAGCACTCTGACACCTTAATCAGTGGACAATTATACCCGTGAAATTTCTTTGATTGCTGCAAAGTCATTTTTTAATGTCTGTCACTTATATTTGTTTTGTGACAGCTGTGTACATCTCATTAATATACCTGCATTGTTTACCACTAATTCATGGGAGCTTTTATAGTCCCTCTTTCTGTTGTATTACAAGCACTGTTCATAGCTGCCACTTTATTTTCACACTGTTCACAGTATCTCTCATCAAGCAGAAACATTTTATCCATGTTTTTTCCTTTAATGCCTCTCCATTCCAAATATTTAGAAAACCCAGCTAAGTTAAGATAATAAAAATTGCAATACATTTGTGGAGTTTTAATGTAATTTGCACTGACCTCTCAAGAACTGGGTCTGTTTACTTTATAAAACAAAGAGCATCTAAATGTACAGTTGTCTGCAAACTACCAGTCAGCTTTTGAATTAAACTTACTTACTATATATCTTATGTATTTATTTGGAAAAACATAAATACTATTCAAGGAGCTAAGGTTTCTAATCAGCTACACTGTTCCTTTTATTCAAATGTAAAAATGACTTCCTGAATCTCCAAAACTTTACTAACTTTAATAACACCGAAATGAACATAACTAAGAGAAGTGGGAAATGAAGATCCTCAAGGAAAAACATTATTTCTCAAACACACAAGATTTTGAAAGTGGGACTATGATCAAAGCACTCTAACCTAGACCTTCCTGGTGAGCTGAAAGTCTCAAAAAGGAAGTCAAGGCCTATCTTGTGAAGTGCTATAGAACGAGGCTGGAAACAAGGAATTTCACACATTGTAAGCTGTTCTTTTACCCTTGTAAGATGGAGAAACTGTAAATACTATAAATATATTTTAAGATTAACAACTCACTAGGACAATACATCTGTCAACAGATAATTTATTTTTAATTCCTAGCAATGCTTTTGCATTCCAGTTTGGACTCAAAGTGAGCTCTCCTCCTAATAGTTTGTTTTTCTCAATGCTGGGCTGCGCATCTATTCAGAACACTATAGTTTGAAAATCTAAACATTTATTAATAAATTACAGCACCTGTTACACAATAAGTGAATATTGCACATATTTCCAAACAAATAATATTTAGATAAGACCCTTTCTTTTAGGAAGAGAGAGGCCAATATGCCTCTACAAAAGACTCTTGATGGATGGAGACGCAGTCCAGTGATAAAGCACTTTCTAGCATGCACAGGTTTGGGGTTTTCCCCCAGGACTGAGAGAGATTATTAACGTATCTTATGATCAAAATAAAAACTCGCTATTATTTCATGACAAAAGTGGCATAGAGATCTACTGTACAAAAATCCAAGTCTGGAATCAGTTTTGGTCTTACAATTACTGCCATCTCATAAATATCATTTGATCTCTCTGCATTGTTTTTCTCATCTACAAAGTGTGAGTGCCATCCATCCCTTCCTTGAGGAGTGATAACAATCTCCCCATCACCATACTCTGTAGATTTCCAAGGGTTATGTAAGTATTGTGGAAAACATACAGCAAATTACTGAAAGTGGTATGTGTGCAATGGAGGAACAGGTAGAAGGAAAGGGAGAAAAAGCTCTGAATAGTAAAAGACAGAACTAGGACACTTGAAGTTGCTACCCTTTTAGCAAGGGTTTCATCAGGAATAATGTGCATCCCCAGAGGCTTGTGCAGTTTCTGCCTCTTCATATGAGTGTTACTTCTAATCTTTACCATGAGATGAAAAGCAAACAGATAAAAACTAAAGCAGAAACATTATCTTAATTGCAAACAAAACTCTTCTCACAGGATAGGATTTACTGGTTATAGCTCAAATGTGGCTACAAATCAAGAAGTAATGAGACCTTTTATCATATTTTCTCTATTATCTATTCTTTATCATCTTTTCTATGAGATGTTGGACTTCAGTGATAAGGGTATAATTTTCTTACTTTTCTCCTATTACCTCTCTTTACCAATGCTCCACTTTTTTTAACTTTCTTGATTTTTACACATTGCTTCATGTTCCTTTCCTATGTATTTGATAACTGTCCTCAAATATTAAATCATCTTTGATTGGCAGTTCATATTTTAAAAGGAGGGACTATAAAGATTCATTGGGCACTTTCTTGGGATGAGGAGTTGCTAACTTGTAGAGTTCACCATACAGCAAATTCTCCTAGTAGAAAGGTCCAGATGGCAGTGCTAGTAGGGTTCTTCTTGAGGGTACCCAGGTTTTATTCCACCTACATCTGGCTGCACATTCTCTGGGCTACCTGCAGGGCACAGGGCTATCTGTGCCATTTCACTTCACTTCTAGTTTCACTTTTCTTATTTCTGTCCCATTTTCTTGTCTCTCTCCTATTTGATGCTTAGCTCCTTCCCTTTTCTGAGACTAGAATCTGCAAGGATATAGCACCTCATTAATTCTATTTCTGGAGATACCACACACCTCATTGCCCACTGGGATAGGGGAAAGGTGACTGCTCACCTAATCCAGATAAAGGTAAGAACTAGGGTTTGTTTTAAATACAGTCATTCAAATAAAATCTGTTTTTCAGATTTTCCTCACTGTTACTTCCCTCAAAAGTGTATTTCATTACCTAAGTGATGTAGAGTCAGGGTGAGGTAGGACCATGAAAATATTAACTTTTTATTAGTGTCTTCCTCTTTCTGCCAAGTCATTTCCCATTCCCCATCCACTCTCCACAATTATATAACGAGGGGCACACAAACATGACTCCTACTTTCATCAAAGACAGTTTGAATGCTTCTTCCCACATGCTTTGTTTTGGGACAAGCTGAGAGGAGATACGTTGCCAATTCCAAAGGAAATCTCTTTCTCTCTCTCTCTCTAAAAGCAAGCATTTTATGAATGTTTTTCCTATTCCCACTAGTATTAGAGGTCTAAGAAACTACAGAAAGACTAATCTTAACCTTTGTTCTAACATCATGTTTTCTAAATAGGAACAATTTGAATGTTGAGTCTACTACTTTATATTATTCCTTCAAACTATGAGATTTGAAATTATACAGAAAAATGTCTGAAGTATGTACATTATCTATTCTAAAATACGAAGTTCTTTGTTACTTGACTTGCCCCAGTAGCCTTCATTTACAAAGCTCTAAGGCATTTTCTCAGCAACCAAAATTAAGACATGTGGTAAACATTTATTTTAAAAAATGGTTTCACAGTAGTGATAAATGCATGATAGAAGATTGTCTGAACAGTCCTATTTTATCCTGCTTATACTTTGCCCAAGTGGATATGTAGAACTGCCATCAGATAAATAGGATTGTCACTTTTTTTCTAAATATAAAAGAATTGGTTTATTATAGATCACATGCATAAAACTGAACATTCAAACAATAAATTTTAAAAGTTTAACATTTAAAGAGATAGTCTATATTTGAGCCATACCACATCTGTATCACTGAAAAGTTCTGTCCTCATCTTTCAGGTGCTGGGCTAGCTTCTGAGCTCTGTTCTGCTGAACATTTTTTTAGAGGGCAATTGGCTTACTCTTCTGTCAAATCTAAGAAACTTTAAAACTTAAGTTGACTCCTACTTGTCAGAAAGACAGTCTTCTACATGCTGCAATAACTATCACTACCTGCTTACAGAGTTAGTGTCACTGGTGGCAAACAGGAAGTGGCCATGTCCTTACTAGTGGAGGGCTCCAAAGGACTGTCATTCTTTTTTTGTTTTTTTTAATTGTGAAAATATCGTACAGAGGGGTTACAATCAATGGGCAAGGTGATGAGTACATTTCTTATCAAGCATTGTTGCCTCCTCCTTTGTTTCCCCTTCACATCCCTTCCCATCTCCCACCCTCCCTCACCCCCACCCCCAGGACTGTCATTCTTATTAACAGCCTGCAAAGGAAAACTGGGAATGCGGCTCAAGTGGCAGAGTGCTAGCCTAGCAACTGCAAGCCCAGAGTTCAAACTCCAAGCATCTAAGAAAAGGACACTCTTTACAACCAAAAGAGAATAAAGAACTTTAACAGTACTTCTATCCCCAAAGTATCTTATATTACTTCAATGTAACATAGTTCCTTCTTATGCCAATTTGGATCTCCTCATTTCTGTCCCTTTCACTGCTAGGACCCACAAACATATTTTAAGAGGGTACTAATTCTTCTGACTTCAACTATCACACACTATCTTAACAGACTCCAACTTTGTAATTATTATAGAATTGTAATTAATGCACACTACTTGTACAAAATAGTGGGCCTCACTGTAATACTTCCATTTGTGCATTTATTGTGCTGATTAAGCCCACCTTCCTACCACCCTACCCCACCCCTACCCGCTGTTTCCTTGGTCCTCTTCCCCTTCCCTAATAGTACTTCTTCTACTTTCACATCAGCTTTATAACCTAGTGTCCCACGTCTATGTTTAATATGGAATAACACAAAGTACACTTCTGGAGGTGATTACAAACACCAAAATCATGGTTACAGATGGATGCAGTGACATAGAACCATGTTTTAAGTAGAATGGGACACAGAGAGGCTTTTAGATAGAGATGAGAGTCAAAAGTTTATTTCTTCATTGGATGGTGGTTGAAAGGGAATCTGCCTTAGAATAATTCACAGAAAAATATGATCTAAGTACATCTGTCTACATTAAAATTTCTAACATAAAATAAGGCTACTTACCAAAACAGAACTCAGCCTTTGGCCTTAGCTTAGTTGCATCACTAACCTTGTGAGAGAGAGAAATGAGTTACTCACTTCTTCAATTGCTGCTAGAACCAAACTCAAATTCTGTGTGAATGTCTACACGTACAATCGCCCATACACATATAGTACATAGATCTGAAACTAAACTTTAAAAACTGAAAAAGAACAGCTAATTAAATATAGGATCTGCATCCTAATTGTAATATGCTTAAAACAAATGATATTTCCAATGTTTTCTATGAAGAAATTTTTCTACTCCAAAGGAAATGTGAGGAAGTTGAAAGTGCAACAGTGGGTTTGGGGCCACACAGAAATATTTTAGCTTAAAAAAATCTTCAAAATGTCCTCAATGAACATAGAAACTATTGACTATTCCCAAACTGTAGGCAAAATGGTGGTGGGCAAGCATGACATTGCCCAATGTTGTGGTAAAATCCCAAACACTAAAAGGCATTGCTCTGAGGAGTCAACATGGTACTCCATCTACTCTTAACAATACCCCAGAGAAAGGGCGTTACTTTGGAAGTGAAGCAACTAGAAAAGCCCACTTGTGACCAGACATGCTGCCATGCTGCTGTCCACCGACAGGACATACAACTGTACCATCTTATACCTTTTAAAAGAAATTCAAGTCTGGGGGTCCTGATTCTAACTATAAAATTCACAGCTGAGTCACACTGCAGTTAGTTCTAGAAATAAATTTTAAGGGGAAAAAATGGCCTATTCAAAGTAAAGTACAAACTGTACAAGTCAAACTTCAATAAGCTAGACGCTAGAGACAAAAAGTTAACTGCACAAAAAGGAAGCTTGTATTTTAAAAGACAGAAGGAAAGCAGCTGGTCAGTCTTTCTACTTATTTTATTAAATCAATACTATACTTCAAGCATGATCTCCCATTTTAAAAAAGACTAGGTTAACAACTGAAAAGATATAAGTAGAGAAGCCATCTCTCTCATTTTCAACTGCTTATTCCAATAAAGTAGGCCTTTCCACATTAATTCTTTGGTGTAAAAATGTGGGGCAGTACATTTACATTACAGTATACAAGAACTGTGGGCACTCAAGCAAACAATTTATTTTACAATAAAATCCTATCTTTCTTAGTAACAGTCTCTGTAGAAGCTGGGCTACAAGCTACCTGAAGTATTTTTTAAATACCTTAATTTATAGGAACATTTGGGTTATCCAGTATTTGTCTTTTGTAAATTTATACAATATGACTTAAACAGAAAATATTTTAAATATGTAACCTATATTATTCAAAGGCTAGAATGATATTTTGTCAATGAGTGAATGTCTCTATTGTAACACTGGTCACAAATTACTTCATTCATAAAAATATGTCTTCTAAACACAATGATATCCAACTAATATTAAGTTGATATCCTGTTAAGATGATTTGCCTTTGTTAAAAGACCACAACATATGCATAACAGTACCTGCACAATTAATAGCACTCTGTTGCTACCTCTTATATGTGTTTTAAGTTACTGACAAAGTTTTATGGCTTCTGTGGAAAACAAAGAAAAAGAACAACAAAATCCCCAAAAGGCTATCAATATTTCTGTTTTCAAAATAAAAGAAAGGAAAACTATGTGACCAATAAAAAAATCTAAAGTTTTGAAATTAAAAAAAAAACTATTTCAAAAATATCAAATCAACAAGAAAATAGAAATTAAAAGAGTCAGAGTAAAAAAGAAGTGAAAAGAATCATTCTTTCAAGATAAAAATGGTTCAAATTTTCACTAAGATAAAATATAGAAGCCCAGTAAGACTGGCTTATGTGTATAATCCCCCCTTTTTTTTGGGGGGGGGTCTGGTTGTGGGGACTGAACTCTGGGCCTGGGTGCTGTCCCTCAGCTCTTCAGCTCAAGGCTAGCACTCTACCACTTGAGCCACAGTGCCACTTCTGGATTTTTTTCTTTTTGCTTATGTGGTACTGAGGAATCAAACCCAGGGCCTCAGTCATGCAAGGCAAGCACTCTACCACTGAGCTACCTTCCCAGCCCTCACGTGTATAATCCTTAAAAGCTGAGATCTGGAGGATTATAGTTCAAAGCCAGCTTAGGTTTTAAATAAAGTCTTGGAGACTATCTCCAAATAGCAAGCAAAAACTAGGGTGAAGATGTGGCTCAAGTGGTAGAGTGGCAGCTGTGAACAAGCAAGTTGAGTGACTCATGAGGTACCAAAGTTCAAACCCTGGTACCACCAAAAATAAACAAAAAGCCAAAAAAAGTCAAAACTGGACTTAAGTAAAAAACAATCTAAAAATAGATAATACATATTTCATCTCTAGAACTTCTCAAGATAAAGCTTCCTTTTTGGATTTTTCCTTTATTTTTTTCTTTTTTCTTTAGTGTCTCACTATTGTAGTTTAGGCCTCTTAACTCACAATTTTCTAGTTTCAGCCTCTGTAGTACCAGGATTACAGGCACATACCATCATACCTGTGACTGCTTTCTTTTCTGATATTCGTGTACTTGATCATAAAAGTCAAGCCATTAACTTGTACAATTCACCAAATCCTTTGAGTTCATTTCATATTCTCAATTTTATCAATTAAGGAACTTCTAACCATAGTAATTAGGTCTGTATCACTTTCATCATAAAACCTGAACATCACCAAGTAATATAGCAAGGTATCTACTGCTACTGCTCACTTTCATCTAGAGGGATTGTAATAGAAAGTAACACAATGTATAAAGACTACCTTTGAAATGTAGGTAAGTTTAATGGCTCCAACACGTGATGATCCTGAAGGTAAGTTCTAAAAACAAATTATTAATACATAATTAATTTCCAAACATCATGAATTCCACATATTCTAAAAATGGTTAAGAAATTCAATTTTTAATATTATATTTTACGAATCAACTTTACTCAGTTTAAGTATCTACTTGCCTAGCATTTGTAAAGTCCTGACTTACACATATACACACAGAACAAAAGATAACTTGGATAGCAAAGCTAAACCTTACTGTTTCATCATGATACATGATGAAACTAAAAGGCTACATTAATCTTTGGAACTAAACACTCAAATTTTTCATGAGAGTCAAAAACAAGATCATATTTTGTCCTGAAAGCAATGGGAAAAAATACTTAAAGACATAAAATAAACATAATTCTAACAAGTTTTAAAAGGCTTTGTCCTAGTAAAACTTTAACAAATACATCCCATAAAAAGTATACTTTCATCTCATTTAAATGGTTTAGTGTTATGTTACCATACTTAATCTACCCTGATATTTCTTCAAAAGTATTAACTGATTCTCTTTAAATCTCATGCAGAGTGTGGGTAATTGTAACTTTCATAGAAAATATTCTTATTTCTTAACAAGTTTGGATGGGGATTGTGTGACAAGGAGCTTAAGCTAAGGACTTAGGAAGAGGGAATAATTTCTGGCTGAAGCTATCAGGGCTGTGAAGGAATAATCAGCAATTAAGCTGGACATAACTTTGAAACACAAAGAGCAGGAGACAGAACATTCCAGGCTAAAAACAAGCTTTTCAGCAAGCAGCTGAGAAAACTCAGAATCTCTGTACTAGCTTGACAAAGCTCTGGTGCTGGGCTGTTGGAGAAATGATCATATGGGAGCTGGAGATATAGCTCATTGGTAGAGTACTTGCCTAGGGTGCTTAAGGCCCAAGGTTCCATGATGCACACAAAACAAAGAAAAAAAAAAAGGTGGTTTGGAAATTTGAGCTGAGAAGCTACATAGACAATCTAACTAAAAACAAAGACATAAGAAATTTAAAATCAGGGCTGGGAAGGTGGCTCAGTGGTAGAGCGCTTGCCTTGCATGCCTGAGGCCCTGGGTTCGATTCCTCAGCACCACATAAGCAAAAAGAAAAAAGCCGGTAGTGGCGCTTGTGGCTCAAGTGGTAGAGCACTAGCCTTGAGCTGAAGAGCTGAGGGACAGCGCCAGGCCCAGAGTACAAGCACCACGACTGGACCCAAAAAAAAAAAAAGAAATTTAAAATCAGATATATAAGCAGATCTATAATCAAAATCAATTTTCAATATATCTTGAAATATAATAAACTAGATGGACTATAGAAGTGGAAGATGGAAGTAGTAAACCCAAATTTAAAAATCTATGAGAAAGTAATAATATATCAATGAAAGGACTGATAGAAGCCAGGCACAAGTGGCTCATGTCTCTAACCCTCACTACTCAGAAGGCTGAGATCAGAGAATCCTGGTTCAAAGCCAGCCCAGGCAAAAACGTCCCCTAGACTCCATCCCCAAAATAATCAGCAAAGGCCAACCTGTAGATGTGACTCAAGTGGTAGAGCCAGCGTAGCAAGTATAAGGTGCTCAGTATGGGGGGAGGGGAAGAACACAGAGGTACACACTTGTCATTCCCCAACAAATGAGGAAACACATGTAAAAGATCACAGTTCAAGCTAGCCTGGCATAAAGCAAGACTCTACCTCAAAAATAACCAAAGCATAAAAGGCTAAAGGCATGGTTAAATTTTAGAGCACCTACCTAGCAAATGTAATGCCCTAAGTTCAACTTAAAATACCAGTTTCTATGAATGGAGTGATATAAATATTGTCAAGCCCATTTTTTTAAAAGGGGGAGGACTTTAAAATGTGTTATTTGACAACAAGAAATAATAAATTAATCATACATTTAAAAGAGAAACAAGCTATATGTTACCTAGGAGTTCAATTCATTTTGCCAAATTCACTTCCTAGAAAACTATTTAATTCTTTACCATTTCCAACTTCCAACACATAAAGCTGCAACTGATCCCTTATAATACACCTGAATGGGTTTTCAAACCAATGGTCAGTGGTGTACAAAGCAGTGAAAAGGAAACGGCTCCCTAAGGACAGGCAGGTCAAGCGAGCTACCTTTCACAGGGTTACTACACTCAATATAACCCCACCACTGCACCTTGACAAGAACAGCAAATTGAACTGTTTAAAATAATTTTTCAGTAATTAAAAAATGGCTATAAATTGCCAATTTGATATTACTTAACCAAATAATCTTAGCAAGAGGTTTGCCAGGAGAGGTATACACTGATCATGACATTTAAAGGTAAAACAAGGCTAAAGCTATCACTTGGCTAATATAATCGATGGCAGAATCAAGATTTTTAAGGATTTCTGTAAGAGGAAATAAAAATAGTAAGAAGTGGGGGGAAAAAAAGTTTAAAATCCTGCACTACCAATGCACTAACTACAACAGAATCATTTGGCCATGTGAAAGTTCCTATGAGAATACATGAGGCTACGGGGTGTAGCTAAGCATGCTCAATGCCCTGCATTCAATGTGAAAAAGACATAGCTGAGCTCATACTTTAACAGGTTCCCTCCCTGCCAAAGTGAATTACTGCGAAGGCGTAAAATTCAGAAGAAACCATTTCTGTCATCCAGACCCTGGAAAGACAGAAGCCTGCAGGGAGAAACCTGTGCCCTGCCTGTGGAAGAATCACAAGCTGGGATCTGGAAAACAGATCAGAGGGAGTCAAGTAAGATACAGTTTATCTTGAAAAAAGAAGTCAGTGTGGGGACTGTGCCCCAGATAGACAAAGGGACAAAGAAGGGAAGAATCGGATTGACATGTTTAGAAGGAAAAAAAAGTAAAAAGTTTTAATTTTTGCTAACCTGTTTTTTATTTCACTGTAAATAAAGATAATAAAGGTAATAATCATGTGGTTGTACAACCAGGTATCTACCTTCCAAAAAAGATGACTGCACATAGAGATACAGTAGTACAAGGTGTCAAAAGCCTGGCAAGGATGCTGACCGAGAGCAATGAGTTCCAAGCAAAAAAGTAGGAAATACGTAATACCCAAATAATATAAACTAAGTTAAAATAGAACCTACCTAAAATTTGAAAGGCTACCTATAAGTAAAGGACTAAACTTACATTATGAAGAATCAGAGGGCAGAACACTAACAAGCAGAAGATGTAAGGAACCAGATTTTTTTTATTCACAGCCAAAAATAATAATTGATACTATGCTAAGTATAAAAAGTACTTTTTAGATATGTGTAAGTCAAACAACATCTAAAATGAACTTGAGAACCTTGATTGAGGAGACTGAACTAAGATCCCTTATAACTCCAATTCCACATAAACATTTATATACTAGAACATATCTAATCTGAAATTTGTATAGGACAGTGAAGAATACTACCAGTTACTGGGGAAACAAAACAGAACCTCCTACAAGTCCCTACTTATCCCTAGACCTCATGTTCCCTACCTACATAAGAAGCACTTGCTTTCTATATACTTTATGATGTATAAAATCTCCATTTTTAACCTTTATAACAATTTTTATTTTAAGAGTTCCACAGGAGGGAAAGTTTAAAATTACTTAATAGATGATTTCTAACTTCAAGTCTCTCACATATATTAAAACCAGGATTCTTGTTTTTAATTTATGACATTGTTCCCCAGTCATTTGTAAGGAACAATAAAGTCAAACTGCATTTCAGTTCACTATGGCATAACAAGGACTAAAGCTCAAGTCTGACCAAAACAACAACAACAAAAACTACATTATGTTCAAGAGTTCCAACTAGATATCAAACACTAGCATTTTCTATTCTAGACATAGCATCATAAATCTGTATGGGTTAGAAATTTTCTAACATAGTATTTCTCTCCCAATGGAAATATGTTTATACAGGCATAAAGTATAATCAAATAAATCTAGTTTCATTTTCTAAAATTTAAACAAGACAGTAGGGGTCAGGGGTACAGGGCAGAAAAAGATAATGGAGATAAGTCTAAATAATATACTGTTTAGAAAGACAAATCCTAAATCTATATAGCATGTCAAATGCTTTAAGAAATAGAACTTTTATGTGCTTTTAAGAGGCAATCTGTGGCTTTTACAAACCTGTGGATTATCCATGTACCATACAAAACTATCTTCTCTGGTATCCAATATGAAGTACCTTCGAAGAAACTTCCCACTATTTTCATTTTCTTCAATATCTAGAAAACCACAAATGCGGTTCTGACGATCCACATAAGGCATTTCTGGGCTTGAACATTACACTGCAAAATAAAGACATTAACAGTAAACTCCCTAAGAATAAGATAAGCATTTCCCAGAGGACATAGAGGTTCACTTTGTACAGTACTGGCACAATCTGTTCAAGAAGCCTAAACAAAAAGCCCCTGTTAAGTGAGGCTACATAATATAAACTCACACTGATATCTGAAGCATCCAGAAAAATCACTTAAGGAAGTAAATTTAGTATGAATGTTCACCTGTTGACACTGACCAAAACAAAGAAGGGCCTGGAACTCAACACTGTTGAATGGTTTAGTTACTCTTTCCCCTAAAATAAACCTATATGAGCCAAACTAACTTACAAATCAAGATATGCTACATTTTTCAGTTGTTTCAGAATATTTTTTAATTCAAAAGACTCTAACAATACAAGCTAGTATTTACTGACCACCTATCTATATTTAGGTTCTTTTTTATGCATCATATATTTCATCTTCCTAACAACCTTTGAGCAGGCTTCATCTCCACTTCACAGATAAAGAAATTAACACTGCCGGGGAGACTTGTCCTGACTACAAAACTAGTAAGGGGAAAAAATCAATACTTAAACCTAGAGTCTTAGGTTCTAGGGCTCTTAAATTCTTCATCATCCTGTCTCTCTAAAACCCTTTAGATTTCTGTAAACTAAAGTTAGCTACCAAAATAAAAAGAGGGCTAAGTAGGTACCTCCAAATAGAAGCCATTCAAAAGTCACCTATGCAGTGAATTTAACAAAATCCAGGCTTATCTAATTCTGATCAACTACCACATTACGAAAATACAGAGCATAGAGGAACCTATTGAACACACCACAGGATGAAGTCAGCAAAGCCACACTATGGAAAGTAAAAGGACAAACAATATAACCCACAATACACAAAGAAAAGGAAGTTGGGAGGTGGAAAGCAAAAGAAGGGAGGAAAGAAAGGAAGGCTTTTACTTAAAAAAAAAAGTATCTAAATCAGTAAGATGATATTCCACCTAAAAGGCTAGTAAAAATAGAGTTAAAAGTTAACGAAACTAGAAAAGAAATATTTAAAAAATTAACTAAAATCAAAAGCTGGTTCTTTAAAAAGATAAATAAGGGAGGGAAAAACAGAGCAAGGGAAGGGGTGATATTGTCCAAAAAGAAATGCACTCTTCCCAGCCAGGCACAGGTGTCTCATGCCTGTAATCCTAGCTCCTCAGGAGGTTGAGATCTGATGGTGGCAGTTGGAAACCAGCCGGAGAAAAGTCCATGAGACTCTTATCTCCAATTAACAACAAGAAAACCAGAAGTAGTGCTGTGGCTAAAAAGTGGTAGAAAGCTAGCCTTGAGCAAAAAAGCTGAGGGAAAGTGCCCACAGCCCCACAGACAACAAAAACAAAAAGCCACCAAGGAAATGTACTCTTCCCCTGACTTATGTATGTAACCCCCTCTGTAAGTCATCTTTATAATAACAATACAAAAATGTTTTTAAAAAGATCAATAGAACTAGTAAAACCTAAAATGCAGCTATGTGGATAGACCATGCAGAGCAAACAACAGCCATTATGAGGAACTTCAGAGAGGTTCTATATTGTACAGTTTGCAGACATTAAATGGATATGACTGTACACTTTTATGCAAACAAATTTGGCAATTTACAGGAAATAGACAAATTACTCAAAAAATAGATTTTTGAAAAAGTCTGACACAAGATGAAAAACAAACTCTGAATTATCCTGTATCATTTTCTTTTTTCTTTTTGGAGCAGGGAAAGAGCTGGTCCTGGGGCTTGAACTCAGGGTCTGGGTGCTTGTCCCTAAGCTGCTTTTGCTCAAGGCTAGTGTTCTACCACTTGAGTCACAGCACGACTTCTGGCTTTTTCTGTTTATGTGGTGCTAAGGAATGGAACACAGGGCCTCATGCATGGAAGGCAAGCACTTTACCTCCGAGCTACATTCCCAGGCCCTTCCCACATCATTCACTATCCATAAGTGGCAAAAAAAAAAAAAAAAAACAGAAGCAACCTTCAACTGTAAATGAATCTCAACTGTAGTATTTCTAATACTTCTTGGAAAAACAAACTTTTGATATACAAAACATCACAGATAAATCTCAAATTTATTTTGCTAAGTGAAAGAAAGAAGACTAAAGGACTATGGAGACAGAGAACAGATTACAGGGAAGAGGAAGATTTTTAGAGAGGTGCTTCAGGAGGTAACACAGATGTTCTCAACATTGACTGTGGTGTGAGCTACAAGACTATGTACTTCAGAAAACAATTTCTAATGCTGTGAATAGGTGAAAAGCTGATGATAGAGGACATAAGGGAACTCCATGTATATATGCTGGAATTGTGTAACATGATTGTGGTGGTAGTTTACGTACATGCAAAACCTTATAGAATCTATACGTTAAAATAGGTAAAATTTATTGTATGTAAACAATATCCCAATTATCCTGAGTTTAAACAACAAAAAAACATACACACCAGATCAATAAAAGCAAAGAGATCATTAAAGTGTGAAACATCTATAATTTATACACTGTTGATCGAAATATAAAATGATACACCCACTTCAGAAATAGTTCTGACAATAAAACAAAAAAAATACTATTCCATCCCAGGTATCCATGCAAAAGCAATGAAAACATACGCACACAAGGACTGGCAGCTTTATTTGTAACTCTCAAGCTAGAAACAACCCAAAATGTCCATCAATAGGTGAACAGGATAAATAAAATGCTGTATATACAATGGAGTACTAGTTTACAGTACAAAGGTATTATTAACAAAGGCAACAATATGAACAGCTCTCCAAATCATTACACTAAGTAATAAAAGGAAGACATGAAGAGCCATATGATTCTATTTCTAAAAATCTCTAAAACCTACAAATCAATCTATAGAGACAGAATGCAGATCAGTGATTGCTTGGAGCATAAGGAGAAGGACTGACTTGAAAAAGTAAATTAAGGATATGGTAGCAACTGAAAATCACTGAATTATTACAAATAATACTCCCCCCGTTTTTCTCTATCATCTATCCCTAGGGTTTGAACTCACAACCTTCTGCTTTCTAGGCAGGTTTTCTACCACTTACGCAGTGCTCCTAACTCTTTTTTGGGTTTAGCCTTGGACTACAAGCTTCTCACCTATTCTTCCCATAGCCAGCCCGACTTTAATCCTTCCTATGCCTCTCATATAGCTGGGCTTGCTGGCTCAGAAGGGGTTGCACTAACAGTTTGCCTGGGTTGGCCTTGAACCATTATCCATCTGCTGTCATCCTCCCATGTAGCTCAGATTACAAACGTGCACCATCATACCTGGCTCCTATCATTTTTTTTTAATTTTGCATGGCGAATACCTGAGCAACACACAAAAAAAAACGAAGAGAAAAATATTTGCAATGTACATCGAATAATCTAACTTGAAAAAAATCTCAATGAAAATATATCAAAAGTTTGATAGAAAAAATGAGTAAAAGCAGCCAGGCATGGTAGTTACACACCTGTAATCCCAGCACCCGAAAGCTGAAATGGGAGGGTCAAGAGTTTGAGGCAAGCATGGGCCGTATACTGACTTAAATGCTAATCTGGGCTATATAACAAGACCCTGTTTCAAAAAACAAATTTTTAATGAAAAAAGAAAAATGGTAAAAGACATTAACAGATATTGTTTAGAAAAATAATTTTACCATGGCTTTTAAACAGGTAAGGTGTTCAACATCATTCATAACAGAAATTTTAAAAAAGAATATATACTGTAAAATTCTTAGGACAGACAACTTGCATCTTCAAAACTAAATTAAAAAGCAGTAGAGGAAAGGCACCAAGGAGTAACTTTAAAACTGAAGAGACTATGAAAGACCTATAGACTGATTACAACATGTGGCTCATACTTTTAAGTCTAGAGCTACTTGAGAGCTTAAGAAATACTAGCCAGGACATAGAAGTTGGTGAGAGACCATCCAGACTCAATCAATAAAAAAGCTAAGTGGAACACACCTGTTATCCTTGCTGTGAGAGATTCATACATATAAGGCCAGCCTGGACAAAAATAAAACCTATTTCAAAAAAATAACAAAAGCAACTATGCATCAGTAGCTCATGCCTGTAATCCTAGCTACTCAGGAGGCTGAGATTTGAGGATCAAGGTTTAAAACCAGCCCTGGCAGTAAAGTCCATGAGACTCTCATCTCCAATTAACTACCCCAACCCAGAAATGGTAGAGCACTAGCCTTGAGCACAAAGGCTCAGGAACAGTACCCAAACCTTGGACTAGCATTAAAAAAAAAAAAAAGTAAAAAGTGATGAAGGTGTAGCTCAGATGGTACAATGCAAAGCCCTGAGTTCTAACCACAATAGTGCCAAAAAATAATAATTAAATTAAAAACTGACATATTTAAGAAAACTAGAAATAAAAATATTGCCTGATAATATTAAGGAAATAGACATATATTGGTGTTATAATGATAATATGATTGTTACCAAAGAAAAAAATTAGTCCTTATCATTTTCTGACAGAAAGACAAAATATACAGCATTTGGGACTGGACTTGCTACATAAGAAGGCATTACTTGGACTGATGGTTGTTGGGGCTAAATAAATGGGGCTAAATAATGGTTGCACGAAGTTATTTAGAATACTCTATCTACTTTTGTGGATGTTCACAATTCTCCATAAGAGAAAACTTTAAATACAACTATGCTACACAGAGATACCATTTCTCATCTATCAGATTTGTAAAATTCAACACCTTGACAATACACAGTATTGGTAAGGCTGTAAAAACCAAAGAACTTTCTTACACTGATAGTGAGAATACAAAATCGTGAACCCTATTGAGATGTATACTGAACTTTAATACTATCACACATGTATTTGTCCTATAACCTGGCATCCCTACTTGGTATTAGAATCTAAAACTATTTTATGTTTATGATAGGACATGTAGAGTTATATACATTATAGGATAGTGTATCTATATTGAAATAATTGTTTATATTTAAAAAATTTATTAAGATAGAAAGCAT